GCGTATAATAAAAGATAGCTAGGTCACCTAACTTTTTTTATGTAATAGCTAATATAATAGCCAATAGAGTTTCAGCATAGTATAATAGCTGTAACAAAGAAAATTGTCTCTTTTGTTGCTATATTAGATAGCAATGACAGATAATTTCATTTTACTAAATAATATGACTGTAACAGATATGCATATTTTGCTACTACATCGACATATTTAGGAACAGCAGCAAACTGTTTTTAAGTAATAGCAAATTGCATAGCTATAGCAGCAAATTCAATTTCAGCAAACCATAATTAGCTGTTACAGAAACTATTTTTTTTTCCGTGTAAAACATCGTTCGAGGGCATATGTACGCGATCAAAAACAAAATGAAAAGAAACAAAATCCGAAGAAAGCTGAAAAACGTATAAACACCTTGTCTGTCGTGCTGCAAGTTTCAGCACGTCTGCGTGTACAATTGGCCAATTGTTTTGCATGCGCGAGTCACTTTCTCGCGTGATTCCGTCCGCCGGCAATCGTGCGCATAAATATCATACGTTTGAAGTCGTAAAAAAAATGACTTGTAGTCAGTCGCTCACCTGCTCGCCCGTCCATTCGTCCGTTCGTTCATTCGTTCGTTCGTTCGTTCGTTCATTCGTTCGTTCGTTCGTTCGTTCCTTCGTTCGTGTTAGCGCCTAAGTGGTAAACTTGTAAGTGGCGAAATAAAGTTAGAAGCAGGGGTTCTGCGCGCGCGCTGCCGTGTCTGTGACAGTTTAATTAATATCTTTCATCCTCAAAGGAAAAACTTGGCGAACTAACCGGCATGGACCCAGTCGCAATGCCGAGCCGGCTAGAACCACTTCAACTTCGGACGCGGCAACGACGACGACGACGACGACGATCCGCCGCCAACGAGAACACTCTCCGCTCCATTCTTCTCCCGCTTTTCGTTTACCCTCTCTTGTCTTGTGAGCGCACCAGCGGATAAACTTTCGTGTAGTTTTCTCTCTTTACTGTTCTTCTCTTTACCGCTCGGACGATTTTGCGTTTCGGCGTTGCCGAACTAGAAAATACACGCGGCTTCACGAGAAAGTTAAAAATAATTGTGATCCGAAAATGTTATGTCGAATTAAATAAAATCGAGGAGAGTTGATAATTTTGTAAGGCTTTTGGACATTTAATTTTGGTCAACTAGCATATGTTTATGTGTATGTAAACAAATAATGTATCTGTTATAAAATGCATAATAGATACATTGATTGACGGTGGATATTTGTATAAATTACATATCACTGTAATGTATCATTTTTCTGTTAAATCACATCCGCGTAGATATCGGTTAGGTTATATTTTTGCGCGAAATAAAACGCTACTGCTTTTGCTATCTCCGTCTCACACAATGTCGACGCGATTGAATAAAAACAAAAAAAAAAAAACAAAACAAAACAAAACAAAAAAGCAAAAAAACGAATGAATATCGCACACTCGCTTCGACACGCGTAGATTTCCCGGTCGCGTATCTGTGAATGCACTGACGATTAGCTTCATAAAATATCGCGGGCGGTGATAATGCGAGTCTCTCGACTGGAGAAGCCGCCGTCGAAAGGGGAGAAAAAAATGAAGATGATCCGACGGGCGTGTAAGCCGCCGCGACTTCTGAACAATCCGCAAAAATAAACGGCAATGAAATCCGCATGCATTGAGTGCGGCAAACTCCCTGCGCTCGTTCGTCGACATAGCGATATTACACACTCTTTGTTTCGGTAGCTTTACACAAACCACCGCGACGTTGGTCGTATATTTATACATTAAATTCGGGGTATTCGAGTTTGCGGTGGTTATTATGGCATTCAGAGAAATTATTCAAGAGGGCCAAAGTAAAATGACAATGGGGCTTTTGAGGAATTCGCAAATTCTGCTTATTTTATTAGCCGAAAACAGGAGAGAAGCGCCGTGAATGCGTTTCAAATTATCGTCGTACAAAAGATAACGCACTTCCGCTTGAATTGGTGAAACGCGCGATGATGAAATTTTGTCAAAATCTCCTTCGCTCGCGAGAAGAGACAGAGAGAGAGAGAGAGAGAAAAAGAGGAAGAGAGAGCTCATCAACGGGAGAAACATGAGGGATTTGATAAGTGTGTTGTGTATACTGTTGGTTACAGTTGTTTATATCGCGATGAGAATTAAATTATCTTTCCGTAAGAGATTGCGAGAGAACGCCATATATACAGACAGGTCTCGCGTGTCGGATCGGGAGAAGAGATTTGCGCAGGGAAATTTTTCTCCTCATCCTTCGCCAAACATTATCGGGCGACGTGATAAAGGCAGACAACGTATCGCCGACGCAACACCGTATAAATCCCGCCACGTATAGATAATATTTCACAATGCATTATTCAGATTTTCCACAAAGCTTTAGACGCGCTCCGCGGGGAAGCCCTTCAAACGTCGCGCAGTAGATATCGCACCCTCATGCGGTGCAGGAAATACGTGATGCAATGGCGTTTATTTACGACTCGGCGCGCAAAGCAAAGAAATCTGTCTGGTTATTGCCGGTCAAATGCGTTTCGATTATCGACGCGAGTGAAACACGCGCGATCTTATCAAATAATTGAAAAACCACCTCGGTGCAGAGATTCCAAGTATTTACCGGAATTTGAGTTAATGACTCAAAACCAAAAAAAAAAAAGTAAAACAAGATTACAACTCGGGGTGAATGTTGCGGAAGGGTTACCTTTATATGTATATATATATTTTTTTTTAAGTTTAACAATAGCACAATTGTAGATGAATTATTTAATAATTTATAACTTAATTGTTTTATAATTGAAAAACCGCTCGTATATAAAGTAACGTGGATAATTTTTGTCACAAAAAGCTTTATCGAAATGTGCTACAAAGTTATTTCGTGCTACAATATTATCCGTGGGAACGAGAACACATTAATATATTAAATTAAAAATGGTTTAGTTTAATATCTTCTTTTTTTTTATTAAACTAAATTAAATTTTCTTGTCAAAACGATACTGTTTTGTGACGAATGAAATTAAAATCGAGATGATGGATATGTACTTACTGCGTATTATCTCTTTTTGTGTTTACGTATATGTAAATAAATTTTAATTTACGCGCAAAGCACGCGCGCGGGAAACGAAATTTGTGTATTTACGTTTGAAGTCGTAACTTATACGTTATATCACTCGGGGATAATCTTGTGCGAACTCCGCCAAATGTGTGTCGGACCGAAGATTATTCTCACGGGGTGAGTTTCTCCGGACGTTCGCCAATATTTATTAGAAAAAGTCTGTGTGAAAGATCAGAGTAAAAGAACGAGTGAGAACGGATGGGCAAGTGTCCTTCATTTTTCCAACAGTAACATGAAATATTTGTTCGCGCGCATTCCCCGGCATGTGACATTAACGTCGACAGGAATTTCCGTCTGCGCGATTTCGTCGCGCGGACGGAATAAGGAGCGTGGAAATAGGAAAACCCGGCCCTCCGGCGCAATATGCAGATGAGTATGTACCTGATAGCGTCGGATTCGTCGCGGACGAGGGGCCGTCCTGGCGCATGGCGTCACTGGTAATTGCCGTTCCGCCGAGATTGGTGCTGTAGTCTTCGAGAAGTACGCAGCACAGTAATAGCCGTGCCACCCTCATTCTGAAAGAGCGAAAGAACAGCTGAGCGATAATAACAGACTCCTGTATTACTCTGTCTCCTCTCAGTTTTCTCTCTTCGCGTGTTTTAGATTTTTTCGTTTTACTGTACGAGAGAAAATTTCGTGCAAGAATGACGCTTATTGTTTCTTGTTGGGGATCCGATTTGCGAATAATAATTGTCACCGTGATTTTTCAGGATTTTGTGACTGTAATTTTTTATAATACTAATTTTTGCACGTTTTTTTTTATTCTAAACCTGAAGTAATTCATTAATTTATTCATTAATTCATTATGTCAGATTAAAACAAACTAAAAGCTGAATAACAATAATAACTCACATTCTAAATGTTTGCTGATTATTCTCAACACATGAGTAAATATATTTGGAAGAATTTATATATAGACTATAACAAATAATGTCTGATTATATATAAAGAGTTTGTGTATATTTTAAGATGTGCATTTTTTAAAACGAACAAAAATTATTTATAATTTACATAATATATTTCTCTTGGAAACACATATGTGGGAATCTTGAATATATTAAGGACGTGTAAAATCACTTTTATCGCGCGCGCGCAAATGAACATAGCGAGTTATGTAAATACTTTCAAAACTATTGTTGATAGTAAAAATGCGGCACGCAAAAATATTTTTCCACGTTGCGGTTTATAAAAATCTAAAAACAAATATTTTTCGTGTTGCAAAATTAATTTCTACGCAAAATATCAATTTTGTGGCGCGGAACACAAGAAAATTAAGATTTTTACTGTCAATGATATCTGAAAAAATTGATTCTAAAAATCTGATTGTTATCAATAGACTGTGTGTGTTTTACGCTATTGCACTGCATCTCTGTTTACATTTTAGTTTTTATTATTTACAACATTTATAATATTTTATTTTTCAAAAAGTCACGCGTGAAAATAAAAAAACTAAAAAAATAGCAAAAATACAGAGAACGCGTATAAACAAAAACAATAAACTGAAAACGAAGAGAGACGAACGACTCACTTAATCGACCGTGCCTATCGCGAGAAAACGAAGCTGTCCGGGGGTGAGACCACCCTCGTGCTACTCTTGAACCACCAAAGGCAAAGAACGAACCGGTTAACGTGTGTGCGAAAACTTTCTTCGTTCACGTTACTATCTCTTTTTCTCTGTGTGTGTGTGTGTGTGTGTGTTCTCTCTCTTTTCTTCGTGTTTCGTTTAGTTCTTTTTTTGACGCTTCTTCTTGTCTCCATTCTCGATCGATACATTTGTCAAGCGACGTATAAACGCCACTAAGTTTCACGGCAATTCTGTGTAATGTACGTGCCCGAGAAACATCGACCGCCAAAGTGTTTTGTCGGACTTGGATCGTACATCTTGAATTCTCCGAGTCTCTCGTCGCGTCGTCCTTCGGGACGATACACGTGCGGGACAATTATCCCTAACGCTCTCACGTAAATAATCATTTCGACTGTTTAGCGACGGGAATTTCAGTCCGCGCGTACGAAAGGCGAAATTTAACCCTGCTCTCTTTTTCACTTAGCCGCTTATAACATTGCGAATAACTGCTCGTTCTTATTTACGACAGGACTAAATGAAAACCCTTCGTTGTCTCCTCTCTCGGTCTCCGAGTCTCATTAACCCTCCGCGCTCGCGTCGTTCCCGAATGGCTCTTTTTTTTCTGTTTCTTTTTTTTCCTCACTCTCTTCATCAGTCCCACCTCCTCGCACGTCTCGATGTCAGATTATAGGCTCTTTGTCCCATCTCGCTTAACGTGTGATCGATGGCCCGAGCGACGTCGGTACGAAGTGAACGGATTCCCCGACGAAAGGCGTCGTGATTTTCGAGAGACAGAGGGGTCAAGTGGAGAAATGTCCGTCATATTATATTCCCGCCGACTACTTTTTTTATACATCATCACGCACGCGGAAGTACTCTCATTTTCAAATATCGTCCGTCGGGTATTTTCAACGCCGCGCCACCGCGTCGTCGTTTTTTTCTCCGGCTCTTAATTTCGGCCTAACTTTCCGCGTACCGGTACTTCCCCCCGGAGGTTCTTTTACTTTTCGGAGATCTTTAGAAGCAGCTTCTGCTCCTGCAATTTTATCTGATAGAAGTCGACGGAAAAACTGCCGGGACCAAAAGCTGTTGAGCTCGAGTTTAGCTACCCGGCCGGGTGCGAGAACCTCTCCGACGTTTGGTTATCTGTGTGTCAAAAAAAAAAAAAAAAAAAAAAAATCATTCGGCTAGAAAATTTTACTTCTTTCCGCGCGCTTTTATTCTTCTTCCTCTCCTTAGTCTTCCGCGCTGGCACGTAAAAGTAAAAATCATCGTGACGTATATCGATCGCGATCGTTCTCACGCGATGAGATCAGACGTCTTTCCGGGAAACGCGTCGCAGACATCTGTTTTTCATTCTTTCCTCTTATATTTTATGAATTCGACGGCGGTACGGACAGAGCATCTCGGTGTTCCATCTAAGAACCGCACATATATCTTCGCGGCATCTCATCGATTTGATAAGAGATACGAGAGAAAGAGAAAGAGAGAAATCCGGAATGGCGGGACGCGCGCGCGCCGAACAGAGAGCTTGATTTATTCGAGCGCGGCGAAAATCTTTTATTCTTCAATTATCGCCGCGTGAAAATATTTTAATCCGCGCCACGGAGTTTAATTCTCGCTCTATTTCCGCTGCTGCAATTTCCGCGGATTGGTTCCCTCTTCTCTTTTCTCTCTCTCTCTCTCTCTCTCTTTAAAAACATTTTCCCTGTCTGCCCTTCCGCATTTGCCTCGTGTTCTCCTTTCGATCGGGCTTATTATTCTCATATACCTTTATTGAATTTATTATCCAGACTGATCATTACTCGCTGCATTACCGGCATCTTTTATGCCATTTAATCCAGTTTTCCATCCTTTTCGTTCCCTCTCGTCTCTTCTTTTCTCTCGTCCGTACGTTTATTTTTGACGTTGCAATATCCGACATCGCCGCAGCCGCCTCCGACCACAGAGGTAATTTTCTATAAGGTGCGAACTAAAAGCCTCGCTATGCCTATAAATCTGATTTTCGCCATTATCGGAAGCCGCGAACAGATTGGCAATATCAACAAACCTTACGGAGGCGATCCAGGCTTCGCTGTCTGTGCGCGTGCTGTACAAGTAAAATTCCATTCTCCGCTCTCTTAGGCGCGTTTATCCCGCTCGCGCGCGCGCGGTCCGGATGTTTGCCCGCAAACAATCGCCACAGGAAGTCGAAGCCGAGCAAATGTTACACCGCCGATCTGGCAATTCCCAATCGGACTTATGCTGCGCTTAACGCGATAGAAACCGCCGCGCGTTTTCCAGCGAAAATGCTAAAATCCCGAGAAACGCTAAACGAGAAACACGGAGTTGCCCGGAGATTTATACTCGACCAAATTTTCCTTCGGCGAACGTAAATTCACTTCGCGCGCTTTGGAATAATGACCGTGAAAGTTTCCTGCTCTCGTATTCGCTGTTGAAAATTTCTGAATTTTCCGAAAAAAAAAAAAAAAAAGAAATTAGCATAAGCGAGAAGCTCTCTCTCTCACTCTCGGTACATACGTTCCTCTTAAGTCTTTTATTCAACACGTTGAAAAACTTCCAAATTGAAGCCGCGCCGCTGGCTGACCGTCATATTGCGATACGCGACGGCAGATGTTGTTAGTTTTATAAATAGATATGGAAAACGCTGCCCCGAAATAAAAAATGCAATTTGCGATTAAATGAAATGACGGAACCGTTCGCGAATTGGCGGAAAATGTGCGTGAATATGTACGATCGTTTTCGTTGAAAATTTGGGAGAACAGCAATATGTATTTGACGTCATATTTTTGCCTTATTTTCTCCACTTTTTTCCAATCTCTTTCCGTTTCTAATAACTCTCATCTCAATTAATTTTTTAAAGCTAATTGATAGATTTTATTTTTAAATTGCGCATAATTGAACTGTTCACACATTAATATCCAAAACCAGGTGCGCTTTATGAAAAAAATTCACGTGAAATTGTAATCTCATAATGTGTGAATGAATTTTTAAATCCGCTCATATTATTTTCGACAAGAGGTAAAATATAATAATTTAAAAAAACAAACAAAAAAGTTTGTTTTTTTAATGATTATATTTTACCTTGCTCCGTGCGCCGATATATATTCTGTCGATTGAAAATTTTAACCTCTGACATTATCCCACGACTTACACTCTTACTCACGCGATCACTGTGTCGTTTTCCACGATAATCCCATATGTATGTACAGAACATTTGTCAGTTTAATGCGCAAAGGTCGTTGCAAAGTACGACGTGAATGAGATCGCGCATGTAAAATACGAGGTAGACGATAACCCAAAGCTGCGCCGATCACTATCTCGCGCCGAATCCGAATAGAAAATATAAAAAGTGATAAACAAAAACCAAAAAAATTTACTGGTCTAGTCGAGCGGGGCTTATCCCGTCGTTTTTCTAATAGCCGTTTCCCTTCGTCGTCGAGTTGCCTCGTCGATCTCTCCGCTCGATAAATCGATCGTCGTGCCTGGACCGAAAATCGCGTCCGGACCCGATTGAGTTAATCGCGTTCGAAAACGACGTTGCGGAAAAACTCCCCGCTCGGACGCGCGACCGATCAATTTATATACCGGGAAACTCTATCTCGACGCCAGTTTTCTCAATAATCTTTTTTCTTATGATAATACACTCCGCGGCAGATTTGATTTCGCTCCTCTTCCCTCTCGTACCTCGAGATTCCCGCGATCTCTTCTTCATCGGCGACGTTATATCACTCTGAATGATTTATTCCGGCTATCGCGTCGCGCCGAAACGCTCGTCTCTCTTATTCCTCTTTCTCTTTCTCTCTCTCTCTTGCCATCTCTCTTTCATAATGCGAAGAATAATTCCAGCGATATAATATCGCAGACGGACATATGTCTGCTTTGTGAGCGAGCGGCATTGTGTGCGCGAAACGGATTAATTCGAGGGTATCAGAGGCGAATCGTGCATAAACATCGTTTCGTTGCTTTGAATAGAATTGCTCTAAGCGTTTCGCGACGGTGAGTTCGTATATAATCGCGGTGATATTTAGAGAGAGCAACGTAAAAGCAACGAAAATTGAAATTTCCATATGAAATACATATGAATTTAATAGCTGTATTTAAAATGCTAGTTAAAAGCTAGTTAAAAAGCTGTATTTAAAATGCTAGTTACTCCGGAAAGTGTGTATTTATATCGTGGCTTTGTATCTAACACAAACGTGTCTTTTGCACGCAATTATAGAAATGCAAGAGTTGGTATATTGTTTAACGAGCGATGTTATACACATTTCAATCGACTGTACGTTTTTCCTGATTTTCTTTTATTTTTATCTAAAGGAAGACCAAACCGTTGCAAACGGTTGACGAGATATGATAACGAGTACATTTTTAATGTTCGCGTAAAGTATGCGAAGTTCAGTGATGCCTTCGTGCACAATGCGCGTTATCGATAGTTGAAAGGGTTTTTTTTCTCAATTAAAGTGGTGTACACAAAGCGTCACGAACTTCCGGATTACAGACGAATTATATGGGACAAGTTCCGATGATATTTACCCTTCCGTGGGAATCGATAGGAAAACTTCCTTTAATAATTACGAATGTTTATTTCATAATTTAACGGAATATTTTAATTGCGAAATAGTTTTCGAGGTATTTCATTATGAGATATTTTAAAATTATAAAGGAGCACGAATATTTAATATCTTTTAACATGGAGAGAGAGAGAGAGAGAGAGAGAGAGAGCAAAAAATATATCAGTTTTTCTTGTAATAATATTATCGGTCACCGAGCATTATTTTGTTAACATTAATATTGTTTATATTGTTGTTTGTTAATATTGTTTGTTTATTTTTATTATTATATCAAAATTGTTATTGCACTAATGCGCATGCATTACTACACTAATATTAGAAATTATTATTTTTGAAAAAAAACGTATAGAATTTTATTATATAATTATATTATATTTGTATGTGGTTTATATTCGCGAAGTAATAAATTCGCTGTCATTAGCAGCGCTGTCAAATATATTTGCCTGTAGACTCTATCTCGTAAAAAGCATCGCGTATAAGCACATCTTTATCTCTCTCACAAGCTCTCTCTCTCTTTTTCTTTTTCTCTTTCTCTTTTTCTTTCTCTCTCTGCCTTTTCTCTCGGTGTATGTCGTACGAGAAACACGCTCGGCATGCGGGTCTCGTAATGGCAGAGCGAAAAAAAAGAGAACGATATCTAAGTTACAACACCCACGCATAACATGAAATATAGCGCAATAACTCACACCTTGCGTAAAATGCTCAAAAAATGTCCTTTTAATAATATCGTTTACGTTAACGTCGCAGTAACGCCGGTTTTACGCGTGCTCGCGTCCCCGACCGATTTTTATTTGGAATCCCAGCTGCCATGTTCCGCACGGAGACAACTTACATACATCACGTAAAAAGAATGCAACTGCACTTCTATATTGCACTCGGCAAGGAGCTAACGCGGAGCATAACTCTTCCTCTCTTTCTTCCTCGTTCTTTTAACTTTCTGTCTTACACAAAAATGTACACAGTGTATTGTCGAGATCGCAGCGATCACTCGCACACGCCGGGAGTAAATCGTTATCTAAACGTCAGGCTCACTCTGTTCGTGCCGAAACGATCCGGATCCCCGAACATGGCTTCACCGTTTTGACGGTGAAAACGTAATTTAAAAACTTACTTCACTATATTTATATAAAAAAAAAAAAAGAAAACATTGAACAATCTTATCGACAGATTTTTACGTCGCGAATCAATTGTATCATTACTGAAAAAAAACAATATACGATACAGCGCGTTGTACGCGCGAAATTTTTTGCTTTTTCGCGCACTTGTCTCTTCTTTTGTTTTCTTTTTCTTCCGACTGGACTCGCGTTGCTTTCACGCGTTTTTCCGGCAGATTATTGCCCGCACGATCTCGACGGATCTCTCGCGCGGCAAAACTACACCTCCGTCAACGGGCGCATCCCCCGGACGTCGGGACGCGTGTACTGACTGCGCCGAGCTGGCCGCGTCGTCGAAGCGAGTCGAGAGAGCGGCGTCGGGACGCGTTCTCGCCGTGACGGGACGCGCTCGAATCGCATGGCGCAGGCCCGCAGGACTATACCGGTGTCGCTTTTCTTCTTTCCCGCCACCTCTCTTCTTGCTCTCTTCGTGCTTACTCTCTCTCCTTATCTCTCTCTTTCTCTCTCTCACCCCCTCGTTCGCGTCGTTGGATATAATATTCAATTTATTATGTACCTTTGATACATGCGGACCGTCGCGCCGGAAAAGTGGGAGGCGCGAATACACGGAGGCCACCTCCACAGCCACGAGATGCCGGCTCTTCTTCCGGAGAAAAATAAAACCTAGGAGAAATATGAAGAACGAGTGAGTGAAGAAAGAGAGACGGAGACGTGTAAGCGAAAGAACGGGAGGACGAGAGATGGTGGAGGAAGTAAGAGGAAGCGGCGGTGAAGAGGAGAAGGAGGAGAAGAAGGAGGAGGACGGTCAGAATCGGCAGCATTCCGCTCAAGGGTGAATTGTCGAGATATTGTCGATCGGGCAGCTCGCTTCTCGATAAAGCGCCTTGGTCAAAACGTCCTCCTTTTTGGTGCTCGACCGGCTGACGAGCGGGAAAAAGAGAGCTCGAGACTGAAGTGCCGATCGTTATGTCAAAGACGAGGGAATGAGGAAAAAGCACGACACAACGACAACGAGGAGGAGAACGAAAGCGCGTCGAGGAGATCGAACAAGATGCGGTCGTACATGGCTCGTGCGCCCGCGCGTGCTTTGCTATTTCGCTAATTGTCTACGAATAAGCCGTTGTCGTACTATTTGAGCTTTACAATCTCGGGAGAATACATCGATTTTTGCGATTGATGTTTCCAGAGATAAAACTCGAAGATAACAAAAAAAAAAAAAAAAAACTACTTCTGTACATACTTCGTACGCTCTTTTAATAACACAGTTAACCGCTTGTTATATTAATCAGAAAGGAAATCAAATATACATCGTACGATAGAACTTACATCGGTCTGATAATCGGATTCTGTTCGTATTTTATCGGAAATTCTGAATCTGATATTGGAAATTTTGAAGGGAGAGAATAGATAGAAGAACAAACTGTACCATAAAAGAGAGCCATCTCTATAAAAAGATAGTGTAATCGTGTAAGGGGTAATGTCTACAATAAGCTATCGGAGAATATGCTATCTCGGAGTGTAGGGTGAAGTAGGTCGCGCATCTTATGTCGTAATGAAAATTTTACTGCACGAAGTCTGACAAATCGGAAATTTGTTTAACGGGAGTTAAACGTCATCGCTACGAGGACGATATGTCAAATAAGGCCCGAGAGAGAGAGAGAGAGAGAGAGAGAGAGAGAAGAGATAAAGGTAATATAATTAGCTGTCCTTCCGGCATATTAAAAGTTACTTTTAAGAGAGAAACTGCCAAAGTATTACGAGATACTTATATACTTTCAATTCGGACGAGGCGGCCGCGCGCCAACCAGCGCTGAAAGATTGTTTTCAGTCGAAAATTCTTCAGAGAAAAAGAGAAAGAACAAGCGCGCGCATTTCACTCGGGTGATATCGGACTTGTTCTATTTCTTCGGCGGCACGGGCGTATTTTCTGGACAATGCCATGCAATGTTAAGTAGTCGTCGCGGTGAAATATATCCTTTTCCCTCTTTCTGTCGTAAATTATATATCGCTTACAACGCGCAATCTTTCCTCGAGAGAGCTCTTTGAATAAGCAGTACTGCGAAAGCAAGTAAGAGAGAAATGTTTCAATGAAAGTCGCGCGTTAGAAAAACTCATCTCACGCGTATTATATTACGCGCCTTTGAAAAAAAAATGGTCGTGCGTATTGTGTTATCATACTACTGGCTGAATGAAATTTCTGATAAAATTCTATTTGTTTCTTATTTTCTTTGCTTGTTATTTTTGCTTCTTATTGATATAAGGTGATCGAAATAACCGTTATTTCTGCCATCGATATACATTTCCTCTCGATCCTCGAGGAGATATAAAAATAGAACTTATGACTGTCTGAGCGCGGTCCATTTCGGTCCGTTAATATTGTAAATGGCGCGAGGTACATAAGCTGATCGAAATAGATATCGCTGGTGATAAAAATCACGATTGTCCGGAAGGGAATTAGCCCGAAAATCCGGAGGTTGGTAGCTTCGCATTGGTGGTGAACTACGAAGTTAAGCGGGGGCGTATGAAAAATCGTGAAAATTTTTTTTTTTTTTAATATCGTAACACGAGGCGCGTCGTGGTACAAAAGGCGAGCACTTGCCGCGAAGCGTAAGGGTGGAATTTATGAGGGAAGAACATTCCCGGGGATAGTATCACGGTCTCCTCTTCTACCGCGAGACGGCTCCTCAATTATGACAGTGAGAAAAAGTACACATTAAGGGGATTGCCCGGAGAGGACGGCTAAAGCAAGCACATGCATAGCGTGCTACAAAATTGCCGCTTAAGCTACAGTGGGCGGTGATAAATGTAGAGAGATTAGAAGCGCGTTTTGACGAGGGAAAAAAGAAGAAAGAAGGAAATAAGAAGGAGAGAAAGAGGTGAGACGGGAAAAGAGAACCGGAGCAGAGAATCCACCACAAAGCTCGATGTGCTTATTAAAAGAAAGACCGGCTGATGAAGTGCAAGCTGAGCATCTCTCATTCTCCTCTATATTCTTCCGCGCGTCTCTCTCGCCGCTTCGTGATGAAGGGACGCAACGAGATTAACCGTATTCATTTGCGACGCTCGTTTCCCTCTTCGCGGGCAGCCGAGGATGTTTTTTTTTTTTTTTTTTTTTTAGAGAGAACGTTCTCAATCATAAATCCATTAAAAACCTAACAAGCAGCGGGGGCGCTATGTATGTGTGTCGCGACGCGCGGTTCGTGTGACAAATGCATTAACTTTTAATAGGGGTCTCTCTTCGCGGGTGGAAACAACGCTTCGAACTGATTTAGCGTCGGCGATAATTGGACGCTCGATATCAGGAGTAACGGCCAACTTTTTCGTCGCCTGATTTAATATTAGCGGTGGACGTTCGCCTCGTATGTCGTACGAGAGAGACGAGGCGACGCGCGGGGCGGGAAACCAGCGATATGGCGCTGGTAATTATCGAAAAAACATACTACAACTTCAACCTCAATCTGACCGGGAGTAATGGCTCGTTACTCCGGAAACGACGCTCCGGGAGCCTCGCGCGCGAGACCCGGAAACGCGCAAGCGATGCGAGTTGCGTCGTTATGCAACGACAACATTCGTTGTCGTAACTCACGGACAGAGATCCAAATCCGAAAAGTGATTTTTCAGAAAGGTATAAGACTGTTACGGTCGTCGTGAAACCACGTCTGCAAAATATACCTAGATGCGTTTACGAATTTTATTGTTGGGAGAATACGTTTGATTTAAATGAATTATATAAAGTGACGTAGATTCTATTTTTAATTAAAAAAATGATGTCGTTTTAAAATATTTAAAAAATATACATCAGTAAAACAAGTTTTTACATGTAACATAAGCTCACGTTTGCTGTTATATTTGAATTTATTTGCTTTTGCAAGTAATATTAGTTTTTTTAAAGAATTACAATTACACTGTGAAACCCAGTGAGCGTCTTTTTCTCTTCATCGTGCGACCGCGCGTTATGCAATTATCCACTGTCGCCAATGTCTCGTAAAAAGCGATAAACTATAAAGCGGTAATAAAGTGATGGATAAAATGGCGCGAAATAAAATGAAGAGCAGTGCGTCTGGTTTTTTATTTATCAAATAAAATGTTTCGGAGAAACGTGAATGAAGATGTTGGATCGTATGAAAAAAATAAAAAAAAAACTGCAGAGCAAATGCTTTTTCCTTTATTCATCGAAGGAAATGCTTCGAGAAATGCGAATGAAGATATCGGAGAGGGGCGTACATGCTTATTTCTTGCAGATAAAGTATATCTTTCTCCACAAGTTGTGGCACATGCTGTACGTAAACGTAGGATTGAGAAAGAGCATTCGTCATCTGCGAAATAAATGGCAAAATAATACATCGTGCGAAATATGTAATATCTGTGTATGTATATACATTCACATGTGTGTATATGCACGTAAAATGTAAATATAATAGTATTTATGTTTATGCATATTATATAAAATTTCAAATATATTGCAAATTGCATGGATTGTTTAAAGTGAATAATTGAGAATAATCTCAGGCTCTGTAATCAATTTTAAAGTTAATATAATGTAAAGTCTATAAAGAGCCATCGCGGGATGTTGTGCGTGAAAATATGACTGTGCATATATCTATGCAACAGTACTCACATTTTACATGTGAGTTTTTTAATTGAAATTTTAATTCTATCAATTCATATAGGAGCCGGAGATTCCAGGTTCGACTCCTGGCTGAGGAGTATTTTTTCGAAATATTTTAAAATTAGTTAGGGGGGTATTCGGGGTCGTTCGTATATGTGATGCAAAACTAGCATCCTATATGAATTGATAGAATTAAAATTTCAATTAAAAAACTCACATGTAAAATGTGAGTACTGTTGCATAGATATATGCACAGTCATATTTTCACGCACAACATCCCGCGATGGCTCTTTATAGACTTTGCATGGATTGTATTACAATAATTATTATGGTAATGACTCAAAATAGAGAGAGTTTACACGCCTCGAAATATAATGCAAATCTATTGTAGTACAAGCGAAAAATTATGCACAAAACAATATTGTTGTTCGCGCTCTACCCACTCCCTCTCTATCTGTATACATGTATCTAATTAATGTAATTCAAGCTGTAACGAGTAAATTCTCGTGATTACGTTAATGATTATTAAATGCCTGTTAATTGCAGTTAGTTTGCCCTGACTGTAAATGGCGCAGGATATTATGTAGCGGGTGCTCACACTTCAAACATTCTGTGCGTTTTATCGGAAATATTCTGAATTTATTTACGCGGTTAAGAAGCTAAACAAATCGAAAAGCCCAACCTCAG